ATTTCCTGAGATAGCATCATTCATATATATGTAATACCATGAGTGCTCTGTTTTTCACCCATGCTCACCTGTTCAAAAGCAAAAAGATTTTTATTTCTAGATGTACTTCTGTAACTATGTGGAGGTAAGTGATGAGGGGGAGGGTGGCACTTTATATTTTTATTTCTTTCTCTTCGCTCGTGTTTATCTGATTGAATTTCTTCAGTAGTCTTACATACCTGAGCACAGAACACATGCCACATGAAAGTCCGGGGATAGATTCTGTGTGGTGGAACTCGCTCACCGACAGGCAGGTGTTCTTCTCCTTGGCCTGTTTCATTTGTAGCAATGACTTTTGATTTTGTAGGAGATAGACTGCTCCGTTTTGATAAGAGGAGACTTAGCCAGTTTTGCACAGTATGGTTCTCCTATCTCATCATTCCTATTATGTACTTAATAGTCAAGGAATATTTACTTGGTATCAAAGAATTTAGGCAGTACATATTAAATATGTAATGGTAGTTCCTGGTTAGGAATATAAAAATGAATGAGACGTGTCTCTTATCTTCAAACACTACAATCTGGGGAGATAAGATATGAATAGAATGCAAGCAGTTCTAGGTCACTCTGTGACATACTATTAAGTAAGTGCAGGTTGAGTATTTGGAGTTCAGACAAGGGGGAGAGAGCTCCCTTCAGGCCGGATGATTAGAGCAGACTTCAGGAAGAAGTATAATTTTTTAAGGAGTTCTCTGAAACATGGATTAGGAAAAAGAAAGGAAATATTTATCAGGAGGAGGGAATAGCATTAGCAGGCACAGAAGCAGGAAAACAAAAGCCTTTGTAATTATGACTGAAATTGAACTAACATTTTATTCCAGCCCTAGCTAGTTAACTGGGCTTGACCCTATGGGTCAGGCTTTAGGTTGGCTGACATGCTTGAGTTTGACAGATGTTGGAATGACAACTCCAGACAGACCATATATGAGCCATTCTGGATGTTGACCAATTGATCTAGTGCGTCAAGAATTTGCTGATTTTCAGTGATTATTGTAAATACTTTCTTTGTAACATCTCTGTTACTGGGGCTGAACATGTTTGTTTTGTCTCATGTTTATATCCTTTAGTTTTCTATTTTATAGCTATTGGTAATTAAGTTTTCTTATTCTCTATGTGAATTAATGCTCAGTTCTTTTATGAACAAAATTGGATTTGTTGCTAGTGAGCCAGAAAATTATCACTAACACAGGAGGTTTTATTAGTCTTCAGGTCACTATTTCAGCCTGTTAAGGCAAATAAATGCAATTTCTACTGCTATGAGGAATTGTACTTAAAAGTTCTCTCTGATTGAGAGAAGTTAATGGACCTTCTGGTATACTTAGGTTATCCTGTTTTTCTCAGCTCCACAAAAGAATTTGACAGATGAGATCTCAGTCCCTTTGTAGTATCTTTTGAACTGAAGTCTTATTCTTTTATTTTTTTTTAAGTTTTTACTTTTTAAAGTAACCTCTGTAGCCAGCATGGGACTCAAACTCACAACCCCAAGATCAGGAGTCGCATGCTTTTCCAACAGAGCCAACCAGACGCCCCTGCAGTTTTATTCTTTATCCTTTCGGTGCCGGGTTTAAGACATTTATTTCTATCTCAAAGTCTTAAAGATATTTTGTATTTTATTCTAACTAAACTGAGATTTTCACTATTAGATTTTTAATCTACTTATCATCTATTTTCACTGCTGGTGTGAGGTATGGAGTCCAGTTTTCTCATTTTTCCAGATGTATAACCAGTTGTCTTAGCACTGTGGAGAAACTGTGTCCTTTGCTGTTGGTTTGCCTTCTGTTATATGTCAGCTTCCCATGTATGCCTGGGCCTGCTTCTGTGTGTGATAGTGTTTCTTTATTTGCAAAGATTTCTGCAAATATTTCCATGGTACACACATATGTAATACTACAGAATTATTTCATGTTACTCTTGAGTAGTATTTAGTTGCAGCAGAATGTATAACTGACTTTTTAGGCATTTGAAAAACTTGTTTGTGTCATGGAGTGTGCACATGCAATGTACAGATTTTCATGAAGGTACTTTTGCCTTCCTAAAATACTTCTGTAGAAAGGCAAGTTGATATGGAATTAGTATGTAAATGCTAAGTATAGTAGGTTATGTGACCTCATTGGTTGACGACCCCAGGAGCAGGTGCATAGTTTGTTGGGGTGCAGGGTGCTGCGGCCAGGGCTGGGGCTTGCTCATCTGCCAGGCCCATGGATTGGGCTCATGTGATGCAAACACATTATACTGATTTTTACCAGAAAGCCACTTTGTTCATTTTTTTTAAAAAAAAGATTATTTATTAATTTATTCACAAGAGACACGGGGTGGGGGGTGGGGCAGAGACACAAACAGATGGAGAAGCAGGCTCCATGCAGGGAGCCTGACTTGGGACTCGATCCTGGGTCTCCAGGATCACACCCTGGGCCAAAGGTGGCGCTGAACCACTGAGCCACTTGGGCTGTCCTACTTTGTTCATTTTTACTTGCTGTTTATTTCCATGATGTACAGGATATTGGCTCCTTTCTACTTATTTTTTTCTTACTCATTGACCTTTTAAAATTTCTTTTTTTTTTTTTTTTTTTAAATTTTATTTATTTATTTATTTATGATAGTCACGGAGAGAGAGAGAGAGGCAGAGACACAGGCAGAGGGAGAAGCAGGCTCCATGCACCGGGAGCCTGATGTGGGATTCGATCCCGGGTCTCCAGGATCGCGCCCTGGGCCAAAGGCAGGCGCCAAACCGCTGCGCCACCCAGGGATCCTAAAATTTCAACGTAATTTTACACACACTGTTATTCCCAAGGGAACAGCTTATTTTGCTTACATTTTATATCAGCCTCTTTCTAATGGCAGGTCCTAATTCATCTCAATCACATATCAACAAAATATCTAAATTCTACGGCATGGTGGTTTTACATTTACAAATGTACCTGTCACAACCGCAGTGTGAGCAGGGATTGTTCTTCTTGTCAGTAGAGATTAGATATTGGAATCTGTCTTTGGCTACAAACCTATCATGTCTACTCAAAAGGAGTGACTTTGCCAGCTAAAGCATGTGGTCATTCTCTGTTTCATGTTTATGAATGGCCATATTTTTGTCAAATTAAGAATGTTAATAACTTAAATATTACATGTTCATACTTAAGTAGATGATAATGGTACTTGGGGAGTGTGTTAATCTAATACACAACTTGTTTAAAAATGACTGGGACTCCAAATACTTATATGTGTTTTACTTTTTACAACTTGCTCAAAAACATAGTACATGACAGTGGACTTTAAAATTGCTTTTTCCTTTATGGAGATGATATTGCTGATCCCCTGACAGATTGTCTGATCTGAGTGGTTTTTATTAAAAATGATTTCATGCAGATTCTATGTCCACAGTAACCAAATCCTATCTGTAAAGTAAGTGTTGGTAAGATACCTCTCCCTTCATTTGCCACCGTGTTATCATCAGTATATTACTAATAGGTTTGTCTTATAAATTATCCATTCATACATCTCTCTCAGCTCCTGGATTATGAGGCCATAAACGATTTATTAACCTGCGTATGACCATACATTGCTAGGTATGTAGCAGGGACTTGGTAAACGCATAATGAATTACTGAATGTCATCGAGCTTAGGGCTCTGCGTATGACCATACATTGCTAGGTATGTAGCAGGGACTTGGTAAACGCATAATGAATTACTGAATGTCATCGAGCTTAGGGCTCCAGTCTTTTGCCAAGAAACAGAGTGATGCTAAACTGATGGGTGGGGAGATTGGAATCTTGCTCTTTTATTAGCATTTTGCATGAGTTGAGCTAATCATCCTGTTAGGGCATTGTAGATACTCTGATGGTTGCAGAAACTGCAGAGCACAGATAGAGAGGAAATAAAACATGATGTGTAGTTTCAACAGAATGTTTTTGCAATGTAGTTATGACTGTTATGAGCATTACTTCTGGGACCAAAGTTTTTCCTATAAAATGACATTCAGAAAGTCTTTACAGGGACGGCTCAGTAGTTGAGTGTCTGCCTTTGGCGCAGGGTGTGATCTCCGGGGGTCCTGGGATCGAGTCCCACATCGGGCTCCCTGCAGGGAGCCTGCTTCTCCCTCGGCCTGTGTCTCTGCTTCTCTCTCTGTGTCTCTCATGCATAAATAAAATCTTTTAAAAAAAAAAGTCTTTACAGAATTAAAATCCTCTTTTCAACAATGGAATGTTGTACAAGATAGTTTAGAAAATATATTTTTGGACATAGAAGTAAAAATTTGTCAGGGAAACTACAAAAATAAAGATGAAGAAATAATAATTCTGGAAATAGGCTTCATAATCTTCTTTAAAATAGACCCACACATTGACATATCTACTTTCCTGGGCGTACCCCCAGACGAGCAGGCCGCAGGCTGTGCTCGGCGCTGCAAATATGAAGGTGAAAGAACCTTCTTGTCAAGGAACCCACAAGTATGAGGGGACATGTCTAGACTTTTTTCCCAGGTTATTACAGATTTTGGGATTGTTTCTGTGTATTTTTACAGATGTTTAAATATTTGAAAGTGTGTATAAATTGTTGAGCAATCAACCAGACTCGCTACACGGCCACTTCGCCTTGGCGGCATCCTCTAGAGCGTGCGTGGCTGGTGACACAGGCAGCGGCGGGGCCCGTGCGAGTTCGTGCAGAGGCTGAGTGTCGGCTGGTAGAAGAGCGTTAGGAGAGACAAGGACATGAACTCATACTCAAAAGCAAGGTGCAGAGAGGAAGGAGGAAGACTCGGGTTTGTTGTAGTGTTACGAGATGTTTGGAGTGGACAGTGAGCTTCTCGTGTGCCGGCGGTGAGTGGAAAGCACCCCGGCCCCAGTGGGGCTGACCTCGTTGTCCACGCGCTTGCGTGTCCTTGTTCCGGAGCTCAAGGAGCAAAATAAAACTTCTGTGGAAATATTTTTTAATGTGGCTTCTTTTTTTAACTGTATGTTTTATTTTTTTAGAGCATGGCTCCAAAGGGTCTATGAAGCTGGAAGAGTACCTAGATGCAGCATTGCAGCCCCTCCAGATGTGTGAGGAGAGTCTTCTGGAGAGAAAGTGATCCTCTTGCAGTAGGTAACTAGTCATAATGAAGAAAATCAGTCTTAAAACCTTCCGAAAATCTTTCAACTTGAATAAAAGTAAAGAAGAAACGGATTTCATGGTCGTACAGCAACCATCGCTAGGCAGTGATTTTGGAAAAGATGATTCCTTGTTTGGTAGCTGCTACGGGAAAGATATGGCCAGCTGTGATATCACTAATGAAGACGAGAAAGGTGGGAAGGGCAGATCGAAAAGCGAAAGCCTAATGGGTACGTTAAAACGACGGCTGTCTGCGAAACAAAAGCAGAAAGGCAAGGGCAGCACACCGTCCGGGAGCTCTGCCGACGAGGACACCTTCTCCTCCTCCTCGGCACCCCTGGTCTTCAAGGACGTGCGAGCGCAGAGGCCCATCAGGTCCACGTCGCTCCGCAGCCATCACTACAGTCCCACACCGTGGCCTCTGCGACCCACAAACTCTGAGGAGACATGCATCAAAATGGAGGTGAGAGTCAAAGCCTTGGTTCACTCTTCCAGTCCGAGCCCAGCCCTGAATGGGGTCCGGAAGGATTTTCACGACCTTCAGGCTGACACCGTGTGCCAGGAACAGAGCAATTCCCTGAAGAATTCGGAATCTCAGAATGGAGACTTGCATCTTCACCTTGACGAACATGTGCCTGTAGTTATCGGACTTATGCCTCAGGACTACATTCAGTACACCGTGCCTTTAGATGAGGGGATGTACCCTTTGGAAGGACCGCGTAGCTATTGTCTGGACGGTTCTTCTCCCATGGAAGTGTCTGCAGTCCCCCCGCAAGTGGGAGGGAGCTCCTTCGCCGAAGACGAGAATCAGGTAGAGCAGGACCTCGTGGTGGCCCCGGAGATCTTTGTGGATCAGGCGGTGAACGGCTTGTTGATTGGCACCACAGGAGTCATGTTGCAGAGCCCCAGAGCGAGTCATGACGACGCCCCCCCACTCTCACCGTTGCTACCTCCAATGCAGACCAGTCAAATCCAAAGGAACTTCAGTGGGCTCACCGGCACAGATGCCCACGTGGCTGAAAGTATGCGCTGTCATTTGAATTTTGACCCTAATTCTGCCCCTGGGGTCGCTAGAGTGTATGACTCCGTGCAGAGCAGTGGTCCCATGGTCGTGACAAGCCTTACAGAGGAGCTGAAAAAACTTGCGAAACAAGGATGGTACTGGGGACCGATCACACGCTGGGAGGCAGAAGGGAAACTAGCAAACGTGCCGGATGGCTCTTTTCTTGTTCGGGATAGTTCTGACGACCGTTACCTTTTAAGCTTGAGCTTTCGCTCCCATGGCAAAACACTTCACACGAGAATTGAACACTCAAATGGTAGGTTTAGCTTTTATGAACAACCAGATGTGGAAGGACATACGTCTATAGTTGATCTAATTGAGCATTCGATCAGGGACTCTGAAAACGGAGCTTTTTGTTATTCACGATCTCGGTTGCCTGGATCTGCGACTTACCCGGTCAGGCTGACCAATCCAGTATCACGGTTCATGCAGGTGCGCTCGTTGCAGTACCTGTGTCGGTTTGTTATACGTCAGTACACCAGGATAGACTTGATTCAGAAACTGCCTTTGCCAAACAAAATGAAGGATTACTTACAGGAGAAGCACTACTGAAAGATTATGAGAACCCTGCATCTTGCACTTTGGGATTTAGAAAAAGAGTTTGAAATACAGTTTACAAACTTTCATTGCTATCAAAATCTTTTGCTGCCATACTATTTCAGTTTTATGTGTAAAAGTAATGAATTTGTTTAGGGGTGGGGAAACGTGTCAGCAAGGTGTCTTGGGTTTATTTTGGTTCTTTAAAAAGGGAAGTCTTGAGGTTTTGGAAGTGTGAATTATCTTTCATAAATGTGCAGAATAAATCACAATGTGAATTATCAGATTCTCCTTAACCACCCCCCCAAGTCCTTTGCTGCTATCCACTGTGATTTTTATGCATTAAAAGCACATTTCATGTGTATTTGACCCTAAGTAAAGTTGAATGAAACTTACAGAATGAATATTGTTATGTCTCTTTAAATGGCCTGTTTTCAAAGATCGTGTTGAATAAACATACCCGTACGATAAAACGCAGGATTTACACATACACTGAAAATGATTTTTAATCTCATACTTTAGAAAGATTTATTTAGAATTATGATTTGACATAATCTTGGGTATTGGAATGCAGAACTGCAACATGTCTTTTATGACATTTCTAAATTGTTTTTGAGGTTGTGCTGTTTTTGGTTGTGAAAAGTTGAATTTTTCTGTTGCCTTCATTTTCATCTTGTGGTTTGTCTCTTAATAAATGGCCTTACATTAAAAAAAAAAAAAAAACATAAAGAAGTGTATACCACCAATTTAGAAATTGTTGCCTTTTCTGTCATTAAGCTCTGGTACAAATTGGCATAACATAAAGACCCATGAGACTGGAACTATTATTGAAGAGATGTTAGATGATCATAGTTTCCTGTGATAGTAATGTTTTTGCGTTAATTATACTTTCCTTTGGTAAGGTGTTTTCTCTGTGATTCCTTTAGCTTAGCCAGCATTTTCTTTGGGTGAACTTGATGTAGAACAGATTTTCATAAAAGGACTAGATTCTCTTGCAAAATTTAAGTTTATATAAAGTTTTAAATTGATTTGAGTAGAAACATTGTTTTAGAGTTGGATTTATATTCTTTTACATAGTCACTATTAAGATGTGCTAGATTTGACCCTCCCTTTTCTCCACCAAAATCACAAAAAAAAACCCCAATGACTCTAGTCGAAAAATTGTGGAAATTGCAGAGCATCATGTAAGAAGAATATTGAGACCTTATCAGATGTATGGAAGTCTTGTTGCCTACCGTATATACTGCCATTTAAAACTAGTTTTTTTGTTTTGTTTTAGATTTAGCTAAGTCTTAAGTAAACTGGCAGGCATCCTTAGTTATTTTATCTGAATCAGTTTCTTGGGTTGAGGGGCAAAGAGGAGTGTGTTATCCCCAGGACTTTATAGTTATTTTGAAATTCAGTGTTTATTTGCTTCAGTGAGTATTTTGGAAGCACCCCATCTAGAAAATGTTTCCATGTCAGATGAAACCTATGATTTAAGACATTTCTTCCCTTGTCATTCAGTTTTCCTATCTTTTACCCCTCAATTAAAAAGATGAGTAAAGGTCTTAGGTCAACCTTAATGGCTTTGTAATTCAGACACACCAGTATCCCTGTTTTTTTTTTTTTTTTTTTTTGTGGTTGTTGTTATTGTTTTTTTCTGTTTTCTAGGGTCAGAACTAAGAAATACGAAGAAAAGGCACAATAATATCGTGTTCTGGTATTTTGACTTAAAGGGGAAAAGGTACTTAATTTTGGTGGAATGTTGATTGTACCTTGTCACAAAGACTCCTCTTTCATTTTCTGATATGTTTTCAACTAATAAGATGGATTATGGAGTATACTGTAATAATATAATTTAAGTGTTCACTATAAGCTATTTGGATTAAGAACTATTACAGAGTTGTAAACTTATCAAATTAATGCAAGACATTTAAACTATTTTTTTGCAAAACTATTTATTTTTAAACAATTTAAAATATATCTAGGGTGAGTTAAAAGTCCCTGTGCATCTATATTAGATGGCAGGTATTGTCACAGAGTCACTGTGTGTTAATAATAAGTGTTGAAATGGCTTCTCCATGTTTCTAGAAGCATTTACATGAACTCTTCGTGAGATCATGGTGCACAGAGGTCTTTGGACCGCCCTGAACCCTGTCTTCTCATGTGGGTGTAACCTGTTCCCCATGTTTTCCTCATGATACCATGTGTTCAAGATCTAACTGTTAGTTTCAAGTTATTATTTTGATTTTTCATCTAAACGTTTTTAAAATTGTATTTTGTGTTTTATGGGGGGCAAGTCTTGATGCTGTTCTAATTCAGAAAGCCAGTTTTTTACGTGCTTTTGTATATCCATAATATAAAATACTTTAAGGTGAAATGCCCTATCCTAATCCAGTTTGAAATTGCTAGGGTCTGATAGTATATTGATAAACATAAAAGTATTTGCCAAGATATTATTTACAAATAAAGGAGTATTGCAATATTTTCTGCTTTTTTGTAGAGAGAACTGTTTGGCATACGCAGCACAACAGAATGTGAAAGATTGGCTAAATAAATAGTCTGTTTAAAAATGGAAAGGGGAAGAGATCAATCTCCATCCTATAATTTGGTCTAGATACCGTTTGGGTGAATTTCTGGATTCGACTGAATGGCAGTTTAGATGGCGTTGGCACAACCTGTACGTGATTTTTAAATACGTGCTTCTAAAAATCTGAGCTCAAGGCAAGAAAGAGAAAACAGGAAAGCTGTATCCTTTTGCCATCGTACATGAATCAGAGTAATTTTTTTGAATCAACTATTTCATCATAAAACTCGATGGAGGCCAGAAGCAATTCTAGGCTTATCAAGACACTAATATGCATTTGTATAAATAGTAAGAAAGCATAGAAAGTACTTGAAAGATATCTCACTCTTTCTCTAAGGAAAACTGTTCTCTTTCTACTTGGTGCAATAATCTGAAAGCCTAGGAGGTCAAAAATATATCACAGGAAATGATCATGGAGCTAAAAATAGTTTTTGAGGAAACCAGCTACAAGGGCAACCATCTTGCTGTTGAAGAAAATCAAGTGCCAAAAGGTTAAATCATTGGCATATAGGAAATAAACATCAAGTATACATTATAATTTCTGAGCCAGTATTACTGAAACAGGATAAAAAAATTACTAAAATCTTAAATAGGTGATATACAGTGTCCCTGCTAACTATAAATCTACATATCTTAACAATGCTTTCAGAAATGCCAATTTTAATCATTGTACATTTCACATTATATATGAAAGATAATTTGCTTTGTGAATGATTCAAAATAATGAAATTAAATCTTAATGGCTTTTCATCGAATATGAAGTCTTAATTTGAAAATGAAATCGCACTACCAGCAACAGACAGTTTTGTTGAAAACTCTAATAAGGAACAATTGCCAGTTCCATAAATAACTTTAAAATTCCAAAATAAAGTATTGGTATGCTAGTAATCACAAATTTGGTTTCTTTTAATACTTTTTAAAATCCTATTAAGGTTTTTTTTTAAACATTCTTTTTATTAGTCATAACATGGTGACTGTGTAGTTGCTGTTTCTGAAAAGTGATCCAAACTCTACATCCAGAGATGAAAAATTCTTATAGAATTTTGTAATAAGTATACATGTTGGGTTAAAGAAATTTTATAGTCGTTGGAGTGCCATGAAATTAATACTTGCAATCCAGATTGCTGTAGTTTACACTTTTTCTGTATGTTTCAAATCAGGTGTGTACCATTTGTACTGAGAACACCACAGAATGAATTATCCAAAGTCCATTGATTTTACTATGTGTTTTGGTTTGTAAACAAATTATAGTAATTTCTTGCACATTTTTGGAAATTAATTGTATAAGAATTTATGTATCTGCTTCTAGATACAGTATGTAAATAAAAATTTCGTTCACAAGATCTGCCTTGTAGTCCATTTAATACCTGGATACAGAGTCTGATTTTTTTTTAAAGATTTTATTTATTTATTCATGAGAATACAGAGAGAGAGGAGAGAGAGAGAGAGAGAGTCAGAGACACAGGCAGAGGGAGAAGCAGGCTCCATGCAGGGAGCCCGATGTGGGACTTGATCCTGGGTCTCCGGGATCACACACTGAGCTGAAGGCAGACACTTAACCACTGAGCCACCCAGGCATCCCACAGAATCTGATTTTAACTAAATCAGGTTAACTGGGTAGTTTTTGGATGCCCCATAAACTGGGCAGAGACTAGAGGGAAGGTACCAGCAAATTTAGTAAAAAAAAAAAAAAAAAAAAAAATTGAACTAGTATTGGTCATGGGAGACAGGAAATGAATGACGAATCAGCTAATGTTACTACTGTTCTAAAGCCTTCAACATACAGGAGTGAGCTGAAGAACACCTACTAGACAAAGACTGCTTAAAATTAGCATAATAAAACTTCACTACAGGAAGGTAGTGCTGAATGATGAAATGTTTAGAGTGTGATAATTTTTAAAAATGTCCCTATTACTTAATAGTATTTAGTAGAAATAGGAGATGATCAAATTTTCTTTAATTCTTTTAACTTTCTCATCTTGCAGTTACCAGTTTTAAGGGTTTCTTAACCTTCTGAAATGTCTTTAAGAAAAATTGTTTTCTTTCTCTTTGTGACTTGTCTTGCTAATGGATGATTTATGCCAGTTGCTCTGTTCCCATTCTCCTTCCCCCCAGAGCAGCCTTCTCCCCAAAGTCCATGGCTCAATAACACCTGGGCCTGACGCTGGCAGAGAACCCAGTAGTAGTGGCGTCTGAATAAAGTATCCATTTCTTTCTTTTCTTTTCTTTTTCTTTTTTTTTTTTTTTTTGGCAGTTTTATACCTTTATTTGACAATCAGCAATTAGTTCTCATCCACATTAACAGTCTGAAGATATTTGAAAGTGGTGACAGGTATGTAGGTAACCAGCGTGTAGAGCTTGTTTGGTGAATCTTCATCCTCGTTCCGTTTTCTGGATGACTGCACATGGATACGGTATGGAACATTCCTTATTCATTTGGCCCAGACAGCTTTGTTGAGCCTGGTGTCAGTGCGCACATCTGGAGTTCCCATCTCCTTCACGGCAAACTTCCGGATCTCTTTGCGTGCCCAAGGGGCACGCTTCTTGAAACCCACTCCATGGATACGTTTGTGAATGTTGATGGTGTATTCTCTGGTTATTACCTCGTTAATAGCAGAACGGCCCTTCTCACCACCCGTTTTTGCAGGAGCCATTCTGCTGGGCCCTACTTGGAAAGGACAAAGTATCCGTTTCTGAACACAGTTGACTTCGCACCCAAACTCCTGGAGTTATACTTTTTTCTTCAACTGTATTTTCCCTACTCAATACCAGGCAGCTTTGCCACCTAAGGAGTCAGAAGAGAGTCCTCTTGGGAAAGGCTGCCTTAGGTTGTGAGAGCCAAAGAGAGGTTGGCCAGAGCAGGGACTAGAGAAATAAAGGGTTTATGAGCAGGGCCAGTTGCTTTGCCTAGAGGTCACCTCAGGCCATCAAATCCTGCCCTTGGTGACTGGCTTGCAAATAATGGTAAATCATAAAAGGGAGACTCTCTTTGATCTTAAGAGGTGGTTTTCCTCACAACAAGAAACTTCTAGGAAGTTCGGGTCCATATAAGAGGCTGCCTTTTTTCTGGTCTCTGCCTTGCTTCTGTGAGTCAGACACTTAATGTAGGACTTGATCACACCAGCTTAGGTCACAAGTGAATTTATAAAATGTTCTCTTAAATACATGGAATTCAAGGTACCTGGGTGGCTCAGTGGGTTAAGTGTCCAACTCTAATTTTAGCTCAGGTCATGATCTCAAGGTTGGAAGATCAAGCCCCCGTGTTGAGCTCTGTGCTGAGCGTGAAGTCTACTTAAGATTCTCTGCCTTTCCCTCTGCTTCTGCATCTCCCCCTGCTCTCACACTCATGCATGCTCTCAAAAAATTTATCTATTGATCGATCTATGAAATTCTACTGAAGAAACCTATGGGAGAAAGCCTTTCTTCCCTTCTGCAAATAATCTCTCTCTGGCCCTTCCTTATCCCTAACAATGTTTGTTTGTTTGTGTTTGTTTTGGAGCCCAGTGTGGGACTTGAACTCAATGACCCTCAGACCAAGACCTGTGCTGAGTTCAAGAGTCAGACACTTAACTGAGCTATCCAGGTGTCCCGCCCCTAAAAATTTTAAGAGGTGGCATCTCTGCACCCTTCCACTGGGAACTCATCCTGAAGCCACCTGTTTTGTTTGTTTTTTTTTTTAAAGATTTTATTTATTTATTCATGAGAGACACAGGGAGACAGACGCAGAGACACAGGCAGAGGGAGAAGCAGGCTCCATGTAGGGAGCCAGATGTGGGACTTGATCCCGGGACTCCAGGATCATGCCCTGGGTCAAAGGCAGGCGCTAAACTGCTGAGCCACCCAGGGATCCCCTGAAGTCACCTGTTTACCTACTGCCTTTGCCACAGCCCATTTCCCTCTCCTCACTAGTCCTTGGCATTCTTGTTTTCTTACAATTGACAAGGGTTGAGCTTCATTTGTCCCGGAGAATTTCCATCCTAATAGTGGCTGTGGGGTGTAACAATTGCCTAGAAAACCAATGGATGGATGTGGATCTTTTAGTACAGAAGAATCCATTGCTCTGCAATACACAGTTTCTTCTGGAATCTCCTGGAATCAACAGATGAAACTGGAGAGCTGAATTTTACATCATTCATCTCTTAATAATCATACCAAACATTAATTTTGCTAATATGTATTTTACATCTTCAAAACAGCCCACTGTAAGGCAGGCGCCTTAGCATCATAAAGAAAAAAACAGACACATGGTGAACCTCACAAGGTCACAAAGATACTAAGTGACAGAACCAGGTTATAGGCTCATACAGTTTGGTTCCATGCTATCGTCCAATATGATACACTTTCTCTACTTGGTGGTTTCTGTTATTTAGAGTGTTTATCTCTGATTGTCACAGGGAATCTTTAACAGAAGCAAATGAATTTCTACTGCTTTCTACTCCAGGGGACTACTCCAGCTCAAACCAAAGATGCTGGGACACTTGGGTTGCTCAGCGGTTGAGCATCTGCCTTCAGCTTGGGCCATGATCCTGGGTCTGGGGATGGAGTCCCACATCTGGCTCCCTGCATGGAGCCTGTTTCTCCCTCTGCCTGTGTCTCTGCCTCTCTCTCTCTCTCTCTTTCTCTCTCTCTCTCTGTGTGTGTCTCATGAATAAATAAATAAAATCTTTAAGAAAAATACATAAACCAAGGATATCCTGACTAGGCATTGGTGGGTAACCATTTCCGGGGCCTGACTTGTGGTGTACCTTATGGGCTTCATCTTTGAATCCTGAAGAAGGGAACACAGCTCTCTCTTGCATGGCCTTGGAAAGGTTCACTTAAAAGAAAACTGCCTAATATACGAATAGAGGAACATGATTAGGTAGAATTGAATTGTAATTCTTGGGAGGCCTTCTCCACATGTTTGGTGCATAAAGGAAAATGTTACTTCTACTTTTTGGCTAATGTGTTGGATCAGATTGCCACAGACATTCATTGTGCCCTCTTGTGCTTGGAGCCACAACCACAATTTTGTGCTTTATAGCAGACAAAGGAATCCACCCTTTCTCATTTCCTATGTCCATGCTCAGCCAGTTCTCTTAAACTTCCTGTCATTTTGTAGTAAGCATATCCTGAACAAGAACTTCCTTCTGGAAGTAGTTCTAACTATACTTATACTCTACATTCTAGCTTCTTTGCCTGCACCTACGTGGATAGAAAAAAAAAAATCACCACCTCTGTTCCTCTGGTAATCGTCATGATGAATTCAAGGTAAATTCCCTTCCCCCCTTCTGTTCTGGGAAATAGCCATTTAATTTATACCTAGCCCATATAATTAAAATGGAAATAACCTTTTTGTTATAGACTTTGAATAGTCTTCCTAAACCCTATCAGCATATGACTAGCCTGGAAATTTTAGAGACCATTTTAGGACAATTAAGTGAACCTGAAAGTAACTAAATCCTATTTAAAACACATTTCAAGAGGCACCTGGGTGGCTCAGTTTGGTGTCTACTCCTAGTTTTGGCTCAGGTCATGGTCTCAGGATCCTGAGATCAAGCCCTGTGTTGAATTCTGTAATCAGCAGAGAGTCTGCTTGAAGATTTTCTTCCTCTGCCCCTCCCATCACTTGCACACACAACCTCTCTCTCTGTAAAAGAAATAAATCTTAAAAAAAACAAAAACAAAACAACCCACACATTTCAATGTTTCCAGTGGTATAAGTCTGAGGGCAATTAATTCTCTCACCTTTTGTTTAATTGAATTATCTTTATTTTACCCTTTGTTTTTGAAAGATACTTTCACTAGATATAGAATTCTAGGTTGACTTTTTCTTTTGCTTGTAACTATTTCAGAATATCATTCCATTGTCTTCTGGACCCTTTTGTTCCTGATGCTGCCATTTGCACTGTCCTTTCTCTGTAAATTATGTGTAATCCTATCACTCCCCCCCACCACACAGCTTTTCAGATTTTTTCCTTTCTCTTTATTATTTTATTTTTTTATTTATTCATGAGAAACACAAAGAGAGGGAGAGACACAGGCAGAGGGAGAAACAGGTTCCAGGGAGCCCAATGTGGGACTCAATCCCAGGACCCCGGGACCACGACCTGAGCCCAAGGCAGATGCTCAACCACTGAGCCACCAGGCATCCCTCTCTTTATTATTTTATATTTTAGTTTTTCTATGTCTTTTTTTTTTTCAGCAGTCCAATTAATGATGTGCTGATGTATGGTTCTCTTTGTATTTATCCTACTCAGGATTTGTTGTACTTCTTGGATCTGTAAGTCTTTTTGCCAACTTTAGGAAATTTTTAGTCATTATGTCTTTAATTTCTTTTTCTATCTCTTTCTTGTTCTGCTGTCCCTGTAGAATTCCAATTTCATATGTTCGATATTTTCTTTTTTTTTTTTTTGGATTTTTTATTTATTTATGATAGGCACACAGTGAGAGAGAGAGAGAGGCAGAGACACAGGCAGAGGGAGAAGCAGGCTCCATGCACCGGGAGCCCGACGTGGGACTCGATCCCGGGTCTCCAGGATCGCGCCCTGGGCCAAAGGCAGGCGCCAAACCGCTGCGCCACCCAGGGATCCCATGCGCCACCCAGGGATCCCCGATATTTTCCTAAATATCAATGAAGCTCTTTATTTTTTCGACCATTCTCTCACCTTTTCAGATGTATTTTGAGTTATCTAATCCTCCCACCTGTGATTTCCAATTTGTGGTTAGGCCTTGTTAATTTTTAATGATATTCTTTGATTCCGGGTTCCATTTTGTTCCCTTTGGTAGTTTCTATTTTTCAGCTGAGATTTTTCATCTGGGCCCATCTCTATTGCCTGTTCTTTCCTTATTGCCTGGTTTGGGATTCTTTGGGTCTTTTTTGCTGTTTCTTTGTTGTTGTTTTTAAGCACTCCTGATCATTTTTGATTGGTTGATGAATATCATGGATGAAACATTTTAAGGACTCTGGACTGTTACTATCTTCCTCTGAAGAGGGATAATTTTCTTCTGGAAGTCAGCTAGAAAATTGACAGATTTTCTTGATTCTTTTGAAACATGATTGTGAGCATTGTTAAGTCTGGGTGTTTATTGTCTCCTTAGTTTTATGACATAGCCATTGCTCCTTGGCCACTCTAGGATCTCAACTTCAAACTTGAGTGTTTACCAAGATCAGTCCCCCTTGAACTCTGACCTCTCCTTCCCCAGTAATTCTTAGCTGTTAAAGGCTTTGTTTGTTTCTTTAGACACCCTGTTGCTATTTTTTTTCAGGGTTCTTTATTTATTTTCTTCTTCAGGAAGGTTTACACTGTCCATGAAAAATTTAAGTGTCAGACAATGACTTAAGGGGAATTTGTATGAAGATCTTTAGGCTTTTTCTCTGTGATTCTCTTCCTTCTTTGGTTTTGCCTCTCAAGTCCAAAATGCTTTGACAGCTCCAAATACTGATTGTTGTCTCTTTACCTGGTAAGACTGCCAGATGCTTTTCCTATGTGCTGCCTTTTAGAAAATGTGCTTAGGGAAAATGCCAGGGTAAATGTGAATCTTCTGTGTTCTCCTGCTTTGATCATTGTAATCTGTCAAAATTGGTTGCTCACCACTGCCTTCTTCATGTTTTCCTATAGTTGTTTTTGATGAGATAGTTAATCAGATATGAAATGGTTTGTCATGGCCAGAA